CTTAACTTTTTTCTATAAACTTACTGAATAGTTTGTGCCAGTGGGACTTTTAAGTAGAAGGTACTTACTATGTCTTCTCCTGTAACTTCGTGATAGGAAAATGATAAAAATACACGATGAACATTACCTAGGTACAATGCTAAACTGCCGCCAAAATAGAACTTAACGACGTACAAACAAAGTAGGTTATATAACAGCCTTTTTTTATACGTCATAATGATTAGATAAATTACATTACCTACTGGCTATTACAGACCCCGTCGTGGGCGACTTCGACTCATAATTGGCCACTTTTTACCGAACTATTAATAAAAACAGGAAAATTATTAATTCGACATTAATCCTTAACCTGGAGACTTTACATATTACTTAACTAACAAGGCAATCACAGCAAAGATATATTAAATATCAATCAGCATACATATCAGTAATGAATTAAACATTATGTGTTTTTAATACTAGTTATTAATAACGGGTTGTCACGCGTATAACAGTATCTTGTAAGTCAACTTATCAACATATTCTAAAACTAGCTACTCTCGCGCGGTTTCACCCGCTGCATTTAATCGTAGCGTGATGTTTTATAGCCCATAGCACTCAGGAACATTGTAGCTATCTATCAGTGAAAGAGTTTTGGCAATCCGACCAGCGGTTCCAAAGATTACCCCCTACATTAAAACTTACAAACATACAAACTTACAAATTTTACCTCTTTATAATATCAGTAAGTCAAATGTAACTTACCCATGTAAGTGTTACAATGACGTAACGTTACGTAACTTAGTACTTTAAGTTATGATAATAAAATGCACCTTGACCTGCCCCTACATAAAAACAATATATCACAGATGAACCTAAAGATAGTGAAAGCTGCGGTTTTTAACGTAATCTGTAGAACATATTTGGGTAATGTATGTACATCTATCTCATCATCATCATCAGCCTATAAGTGCCCACTGCTGAGCAAAGACCTCTTCTCACACGGAGAAGGTTTGAGCATTAATCACCGCGCTTGCTCAATGCGGGTTGCCGATTTCAAACTTATAATTAGAAATTATAAGTCCAGGTTTCCTCACGATGTTTACCGTCAACGTATGTCAGTGGTGTCAAAATAATTAAAGAAAGTACAAACACAATATAATAGGAAACTCGGAAAAAGACACATTGGTACTTGCCAGGTTTTGAACCCACACCCTCATGCATGCGGCGGCGACCTCTCGCGCCCGGCCTTAGTTGAGGCCATGGTGCGGAGTGAGAGGAACTCGCCGTCTCCTCATTTTGTGAAGCAGTCATGCTCGCAAAGAGAGAGGCGGCCCGCGTGAGGAAGCAATCCTCCTCCTCACGCCCCAGCCGCCGCAACTGGCGACACTACGGGCGTCGGGGATCGAGGGACGATCTCCGGCCACCGTAAGCACTTCTCCCGCCCGGTCCTGGGCGGGAGAAGTCATTTGATGATTTTCCCCTCCGAGCATGACTGCTTCGCAGAAGATGGCGGCTTCCCAGTTCCTCTCAGGACAGGTAATGTTTTCTTTCTATGTGTTTATTTAATGTTTACTTTGTCGTTTTCTATAAATTAGTCTAATATTCGAATGATAAATAAATAAATAGGTAAAACGTTGTGTTTAAAGTACCTACCATAGACAATTTTATGTCATTACCTAAGTTCAATGGTAGATTAGTTAAAAAGATATTTTTTATTTGCGTCATTAAAATTGAACTTGCGAATCTAGCGACCTCTAGCGTGTTGGATGCAATTATGTAGAAGTTTGATGATTAAAAAATTATACGTCTTAGAATTTATTTATGTTTAATTTTATATTTCTTGCTGCTTGGGAAGATTTAGTGCCTGGTTTTTATTACATACGCTTTAAATATAATATTATTATTCAGTTTGCTTTATAAAGTTTTAAGAGCTGGGTAAGTAGTTATAGAATTCAATAACGAGATCTACCTACTTAATATTTAATTACTACCTTGTCGATGCTGATCTTGTTGATGTGATCATGTTGTCTTTTTATTTGAGTAGGTACTTATAAGTTACTTATCATTTATTGACATTTATACTGTTAACTTCTTTGCGTACTTTTAAGTCTCTAGTAAAGTTTATTATAACTGTTTGCTATATAGTATATTGCTTAGTTATGATTCAAAGAATGTGTTCAGATAGAACTAGGCAGATTGCAATATTTAAATATGACATGTAGAGATGCAATAAGGTACTACTCGTAAGTACCTACGTATGTAAAATGAGTTTGATTTTACTTATAATTTGAGAATAATATTCCGTGTAGGTAGGTATTTGTAGACCTCTTGTGTCCGGCCTAAGTCGATGTCATTTTGCGGAGCAAGAGGAACTGGGAAGCCGTCTCCTCTTTCTGCGAAACAGTTATAATCGCACTGTTTAGACTCCCCTCACAAAAAAGTTATTCTTAGAGACAAGTACATATATTTATATTTATGAAAATATTACTTAGTCGGGTCATAAGTTCTGTCAAAACCTTATATTTTTAATTTTCGATTACTGGCCAGAAATTCTTCGACTTATTTTAAAAATAGAACTTTCGCGCTTGTAGAAAATAAAAAAGAAATTATTTTTTATTCATTTTTAAATATGGAGTGGTCGAATAAAGAAGACAGAATCGCGGTTATCGCGTTGCACCGCTGTGGTTACGCGCCAAAAGACATTTTCAATATTCTTCAAAATTTGAAAATAACGTTACGGTTTGTTTATCGTACTATCAAACGATACACCGAAGAGTCAAGCTTCGAAGATCGTAAGAGAAGCGGCCGACCTCGCACAGTTCGGACACATAAGGTCATCAAAGCAGTGAAGGCGCGAATCGAACGAAATCCCGTACGTAAACAAAAAATCCTAGCTCTGCAGATGGGGCTAAGCAGAACCACTGTTAAAAGAGTACTAAATGAAGACCTGGGACTACGAGCTTATCGTAAAAAGACAGGACATTTTTTGAACGAGCGTTTAAAAAAAATTAGGCTAGACAGATCCCGCGCTTTGCTACGACGGTACGCGGGAAAAAAATACCGCGAAATTCTTTTTTCGGATGAAAAAATTTTTACTATTGAAGAAAGTTTTAACAAACAAAATGATAAGGTGTATGCCCACAGCAGTGAAGAAGCAAGCGCGCGTATTGCGAGGGTCCAGCGTGGGCATTACCCTTCCTCATTCATGGTTTGGCTTGGAGTCTCATATTCAGGCGTAACTGAGGTGTTTTTCTGTGAAAAAGGTGTGAGAACTAGTGCCGAAGTTTATCAAAATACTGTCCTAACAAACATAGTGGAACCTCTTTCTCAGACAATGTTCAGGAACAGGCATTGGATATTCCAACAGGACTCTGCACCGGCTCATAAGGCACGAAGTACGCAAGACTGGTTGATCGCTCGTGGAATTGACTTCATCCGGCATGAAGACTGGCCCTCTTCTAGTCCAGATTTAAACCCACTGGACTACAAGATATGGCAATATTTGGAGGAAAAAGTCTGTGCTAAACCTCACCCGAATTTGGAGTCTCTCCGAGCATCTCTGGTTAAAGCAGCGGCAGACATAGATATGAATGTGGTGCGTGCAGCGATCGATGACTGGCCGCGTAGATTAAGGGCATGTGTTCAAAATGGGGGAGGGCATTTCGAATAATGTAAATAAAATTATATTGTACATTTAATGACCTTTCATTTCATATATAATTTTTAAATAATTGTCAAAAGGCGTATAAGTTATTACATCAAAAGTTTGTGACAGAACTTATGACCCGACTAAGTATATTAGGGCTGATTTTGTAATGGTTACATAAAAGCTACCTGGGGAATAATTATGATGCTGTCGCGTCAGAATGTTTGTATAAGATAGTGACAGCAACAATTTTATTGAAAAATCAGCCCTAAATGAAATGATAGGTGTAGGTATCTAATAAATTTATCGCGTAACGTAAATATAGCTCACGTAATGGCTGCAAAATACTCGTGTACTACACAAAAAGTCAAGTCATGCCTTACTAGAAATTAATCAAAAGCAGGATATCATTGTCCGTATCTAAGATAAATGACTTACGTATTTGCTAAAGATACTTACTTTGTTATAACTGCATTGTAGTGTTGAGTTGAAGTATATTTTGAAGCTAGGTAATTCAGCAAAATTTAGGTACCTAAAGACTCAATCATAATAATATAATCTTTGACTAATTTAATAAAAACACTCATTGGCTTTTAATCTTTTTTTTTGTGAGGCGAAAGTCATCAAATGACTTCTCCCGCCCAGGGCCGGGCGGGAGGGAGTGTCAGACTCTTACTGACTAAAAACCCCTGTTCCTTTTCCTGCTCTCGGTCGAGGTCGCGGTACCTCATTGCGCTTACCCCGCAACCCCGGCTGAACATCAGCCCTATGGGGCCCCGTCTGTGGTGGTCTATTGGCTCTTTGAGGCGCGCGCGGAACGCTACGCGCCGTACGCTCGGGCCTGGTTCTGGTCGGGCGGCGAGCTGCCCTTACTCGCCGACCGCAGACCCGTGCTTACGGTGGCCGGAGATCGTCCCTTGATTGGCTTTTAATCTCAAGACTAATATGCATTTTTGAATGAAACAGTATTTACGGGTTACGGTAAAATGTCTTAGCATCAGCAGTATTAAGTTATACAGAGAGTATAAGTCAATTGCAATGGCTCTAAGGTGTGTTGTAGCAAGCAGAACTAGAGATTGCTGCTGGAAACTTTTGTTTCCAAATTTGAGAGTTTTATATTCGACAATTGAATTGAGAACTTACCTATATAAAATAATGTTAAACGTTTTGTAAAAACACTAAATTTTTTATACAACAGTGTTCAGACAATGTATACTTGTAATATCATCTAGTCTATCAGCATTATCATCATATCTTCAAGTATACTTCATAAATATGTACGCTGTAAAGCCAGCCATGATTGTGTAACTGATTATAATGAACTTTATCACCAAGATACAAGACTCAAAATATTTATATCATCATTGATAATGTCATATGCGATTGGTTATATACAAAAACAGTATAAAATGCGTTTGTAAGCATACGGTTTATGTCTTTGTATCATTTTATACAGCTGTAAAGGTTTTGAAAAAAGAAAACAATAAAAAATATGGTGGTAGCAAAAAAATACATCGTCCTAAATCCTTTTGACGGAGAACCAAAGAAAAGTGATTTTGCAATTGTCGAGGAGGTTTTACCTGAGTTACAAGAAAATGGTTAGTGCCTGTATATATTTTTGGTTTGGGATTTATGTACGTAATTGGTTCTGTCATTAATGGATCCACCAGTAAGTGAACGCGGCGTTTAATTAGGACTCACACATTTTTTTAGGATTTATTCAGTATGCTTCAGTATTCAAACAATAACACAATTATTTCATTGTTAGCCAGTGGATACCGAAATAAATCAACGCATCAGCCAGTTTCCCAGCTCTTACCAACTGTGTAGTTAATTACAATTAAATTTATGGCAATTATAAACCTTACAGAATTCCTTGCTGAAGCAGCATACATTAGTGTTGATCCCTACCAGCGAATGAAATTGGGCGCATCATATCCTTGTGATATGATTGGAGGGCAAGTAGCAAAGTAAGTCCATGTTTCGTTAGTGGCGATCAGATGGCACGATTCATCGTAACCTAAGTCCCTAAGTTCCTATGGATTGGTGGTATTATCACTGTTAGGCTGTTAGTGTCCCTGAATCAGAAGATTGATCGATAAGTCCCGATGAGTCGTGCCGTCTGATCGTCGCTTTTGATCGCTACATGTCTAAATAGTCTTTGAAATATAGCTTTGAAAATGATACATTGGTACTAGTACTTATCAGGTTTCAAAAGGAATGATTCTTTTGGTTTGTTGTGAATCTTCAAGTACCTAAACAAGTTTTTTAAATTAAAATGTCTCTACACTAGGAATATCTACTTATGCCTTGTTCGTACGTTGTGGGTGCGTTTAAAAACAAAACATATAAAATCTAGACACGCGTTCAATTAAAATAATTATGTCAATAATAGACCGTCATCTTTTCAGAGTAATTGAAAGCAAAAACCCCGAGTATCCAGTCGGTTCCTGGGTGATGGGACATTTTGGGTGGAGAACTCATACAGTGACTAAACCAGAAAACGAAAAGTTTAGTGCTCAAAAACCGTATTTGTACAAATTACCTGATTTCGGTGATTTACCTGTGTCTCTTGCACTTGGTGTGTGTGGAAGAGTGGGGTATGTAGAAAATATTTCTTTATTCCTACGTAAATTACTAACAGGAAAGTTTTAAGGTTCACTTAGGTTTATTCAGGTAAAAACTACAGAATTGATTAGAATGAAATTTGACATAGAGCAGTTTTTCCAAAAGTTTAAAGAATACAAAATCATTGATTTCCGTTACATCCTTACAGGTATTTTTTAAAGAGTTAATAGACCACCACAGACGGAGTTCCGGGGCAAGCGCAACGAGGCACCGCGACCTCGCCCCGGAGAGGCATTTGACGATTTTTCCCTCACAAAAAAAAGCAAAATCCTAAAGATAAAAAGTGTTAGTCTGTCGGCCAGTCCTTTTATTGAAGCTATTTGCTCGTTCCAAAGTGTAGATTCCAATGGAGAACAACCAAGGAAACTCCATGGTTACTTTTAGTAAATCAGTTTTACAGACATATACATTTTGATGGGGGAAAATCATCAAATGCCTTCTCCCGCTCTTCATGGAGTGACTGGGAGCGTCAGACTCTTACTGAATAAAAACCACCCGGTTCCTTTTTCTGCTCTGGTTTGGTTGTTTGTCGCAACAAATGTGTACAACATAATATTGTCTTTACAAACACACATAAAAGGTAAATGAAACTTAAAGATCACATCATCATCTTTGTATTTATTATAGGAACACAGCATACTTTGGTTTGACGGAGATCTGTCAACCGAAGGCCGGAGAGACTGTGGTGATATCAGGGGCGGCAGGAGCTGTCGGTTCACATGTAGGACAGATCGCTAAGATTCTCGGTAATTATTGTTTTTGTTAAACTAATTTAAAAAACTATTTTATAGAATGTAGCCGGGAAAATTCTATTTTTGGCAGGTTAAGTAAAGTACCATCGATGCGATTTTCAAGAACTGACAAAAGTATCTTAAAGTCTTAATACCATATGACACAGTTGTATATGTAATATGTGTGTTGTATAGTTGATGACAAACTTAATGTGTTACAAACTACCGAAATAAAGGTTAAACAGAGTTTGCAGACACATTTATTATTAACTGAAATTCTAAATGTTTATTTCAGGATGCCGAGTTATCGGAATCGCAGGCTCTGATGAGAAATGCGAATGGTTAGTCAAGGAGTTAGGATTCGATTGTGCTGCCAACTACAAAACAACAGACATAGCAGAATTCCTTGAAGAAAATGTACCAGAAGGTGCAGATTGCTATTTTGATAATGTAGGAGGAGAACTGAGTAGTACGATAATGTCGAAGATGAATAAGTTTGGCAGAGTCGCTGTTTGTGGAGCTATTTCAAGTTATAACGAAACGGATCCGGAGAAGCGTAAGGGTAAGAAAAAAAACGGATTAACTGTTTCTTTGAATTTTAAAGCATGTATGATCATAATATTGGTAATTATTTCCCCAGTAATGAATAGTAATTTCTCATACCAACATTTTGGAAGGGTAGATACGACGTTCACCGCGTTATTGTAAAAGGAATAAATAAATAATTTTTGAACAACACATTATTCCAAATTTAAAGACTTTACTTGCCGGGCGTTTGAAATTTGATTTTTTAATGACGTCATGCGCAAAATGACGAAGAGCTACATAGCTTTTTCTCTTTCTAAACCTTAACTTATTTTCTGTTTCAGCATCAATTTTACAATTCTTCTTTATAGGCAAAGGACTTAAAGCAGAGGGGTTCTTGGTGAATAGATTCGCTGATCGAAATTTAGAAGGAATTAATCAAAACTTAAAGTGTGTGAAAGAAGGAAAGCTGAAATACAAGGAACACGTGACCGAGGGATTTGAATCAGCTGTTGATGCTTTTATTGGTTTGTTTAGAGGAGACAATATTGGTAAAAGTATTGTAAAAGTGAAATGAAATGGAGTAATTATCATCAGTGACGTGGGAACATGTTATATTATTTTCTTTTATTTAGTCTCTTTTTATTGAGTAACTTTCAAAAAATATAACATAAGTAATAAAGTTTATTATTCTTTAAAAAAGTATTAAAAAGTTAACATATTTTAAGTGAAATTTTTGTTACTAATTGCGCTATTGATTTTTATTTTATTTTACATAATATGATACATAACTTACAAACTTACAAATTTTACCTCCTTATAATATTAGTATAGATCGACACAACCAATAAACTCACAAAAATGTACATTACCTATAAGTACAAAAATCATATTTCATTATTTCAAAACAATACCCAATATGTCTTTAAGAACCAATTGAGTGTATGGTTACATCATTTCATTTGCGAGGGAGATCCCGTATCACCGTTTGCGGGTCGGTAACCATCTTCATAAACACGTGCCAGTCGGCAAAACCATACGTCTTGTGCAATATTCAACAGAGCCAATAAAGAAACAGTTATGCCGCACATCACACATTTCTTGACACGAATACTTCAGCAGAATTTCCTTTACGGTTCGTTGCACGTTTGTAAAGTTCTATATTATATGTACGTACCCATTTATTTATTTATAGGTAAATCTATGTTAAGTAATTAAGTATTTATATCTTTTTATAAATTTTTAGTTGTGTTACAAGTCCCTTTTCATAAGTGTTGAAACTAGTACTCAAAAATTAAGATTTAAAATTCATATAGCATTGAGGATCGTGTTTGATTGGTAAATCGGGAACAGAAGTAAATATTTAACGGTAAAAAAAGTGTAGAATTCAAAGAAAATGTTTTTTATTGTACTGAATGTTACTGGACTTGGACTCATCCAGTAAACGCATTTTGGGAATGTTATAGGCTCCCTTGTGCTATGATCAAAACGGGATTTAAGTGTTTGCCTAACGCGATACCTAGTAATATTTACGTTAATAAGAACATAATGTTCTGTCAGTTTGTTCATCATTAAAGCTAGGTGCTGGTTCCAAATTGTAGATTCGGATGGAGAAGAACGAAGAAGAAACTCCTTGTTTACATGAGTATGACATATGAGCCATATAGCACTAGTTTCATGGGTCATATAAAGGTATCTATCACAGGACACAAAAAGTGGCTGTAAAATATGCTCTATCTATCAAACACGTGATTTTCAAAAACAATTCCACAAATATTTAGCCTTCTATCGTCCAAACGTCACTATTAGATAAGTAGGTTATGTAAAATTCAATACAATGTATTCAATGTCAAATTAACTTTTATGTGTAAATCAAATATGTACACATCTTAATGTCCTTACAATAACAATAGATCAGTCATAGCATTGACTTTGATACTTGAGAAGGTAACATATAGTCCAGTATAATTTGAACTCTAAACATTCGTAAAATACTTGAAGCTACATGTCTAATTACAATGGCCGTAATAACACTTGTCTATATAGAATTGAGTTTAATAGTTAATTCTATTGAGCAAGTAATTATGTTCTTAAGTGGTTACATAAAAATAAATACTATAGATGCTTACCTAAGTTTCATTGTGGCGTGGGTATCGCTTAATGAGTATGGTGTGACTGATTTGGTTTTTGATAGACAAAAGGATTAGGTCTTTTCTTAAGTCAAGGTCATGAAAGAAATGTTTAAGGAGAATATGGACGGATGGTGTGGGGAATCATTTGAAAGAAATTGCGTTTCTCAAGCGACTGTGTTTCTGAAGGATTTTTTAACGTGAGTATCCTTTAGGCCCGGTTCGCTAATGGGTCGGCTTGCTGCATCATCACTTACCAGCAGACAAGAGAGACGCCAAGGAAGTTTTTAATGGAACAATAAGGGCAGAAGGAAAGAAAATAGTACTGGTGTATATCGCCTGATATCTAATTGCTCAATAATAATGAAGAAACAATACACAATTTTCGCTTCCTTGATTCAGGGATCCCTTGACCGGTTGTTGCACTTATAAGCACTTGAACACATTTTTATATTTATTTACTTTAACTCATCTTACAAAATAATGACGGGCTAATCATAAATGCATCGACCACGTTAGCGTCGTTGCCGGAATGAAAGTGTGACTGAACGATCAAGGATCTCTGGTATGATTTCTGAATCGGAACATCCTAGTACCAACAATGGGATGTTCTCGGTTTCTTAAAATAAATATGTAGTAATAGTTCCAGTAGTAATAATTATGTCATATTAGCAATTGATCCTCTATACACACACAAAATAAGCACAGGTAAATTGATTGGATTGGATAGATATTACATCGTGTTTGAGCACATTTGCCTAAACTGCCGACAGCGCCCTCTGGAGATAATTAGGCAGACATTTGTGACGACTTAGCTACGAAGCCGTAACGTTAAACTTTGTGTTTACTCGAGTGTTGTCAGCATGCACGAACATCTTCGTGCTGTGCATTTTAAACATGCCATGTTACCCAATTTTACAAGGTATCCGTGTTTTACCTACTGATTTAAGGTCTCAGCTAGTAACTTATTTTGGTCTCACGGATGTTAGGAGGAAGATTTGGAAGGTTATGAGAATGTGTCTATTTATTTAGGTGCTTGAGTAATATTTTTTTATGTGATAGGACGTCAAACGATCATACCGATTACCTGATACGAGGAGTAACGAGTGAGTTGCAGGCCTTTTGGGGACTAAGGTTTTGGAGCTTTAGGGATTAGACCCCTGGTAACAGCAATCACAAGGAATCAAATAAAACAATGTGGTAGTTTCACGCCGGTTTTGTGTGAGACCGTGGTATCGCTCTGGTCGAGCCAGTACATTCGTGGAAGCATGGCTATCTCACACTCTGTATGTAAAGAAATATCTTGAAAAATAAAAGCATTAACTTGATAAGTTTTTTAAAGAAGAGGTACATTGTCATCATACTACTTACATATATCAGTTAAAGGACGTGCATTATTGAACGTAAGCTTTCCTCAATGACTTTCGTATTGGCATGTTGGGAGCAACCAGTTTTCAGAAGTTCTCTTTTTTTAAAGGAACTTCATTAAATGACCTCTTCCTGACTTGAAAGTGCCAGACTCTTACTGACTTGAAACAACTCTGTTCCTTTGCCTAGTACATTTTTGCATTTGCACCCTCAACCCTGGCTGATTCAATAGCTACGACTAAAATGCTGAAACCGCGTCAAAAGCAAGTTTATAAAATACGCGTAAGATCAAAAAGCACATAAAAGTGTAAAAGAGTCAAGCTTCGCTATGTGAGTGAAACTACCTAGGTACTGAAGGCCCAATTTTTATTCCCATTCTCCAATACCTCCTCAACCAAGGTTCTCCGAAACACTACTTAATCCACAAAAGGCACTTGTTACTCCTTTAGTATTGTAAGCGGCGCCGATTGCTTACATCTGTTCGTTTGCTGTAAGATTGAATTACTTGTAATCTTCCATTGTAAGTACAGAATGTATCTCCATCTTAATGTTTATCACAGATGGGGCCCTATAGGGCTGATGTTCAGCCGGGGTTACGGGGTAAGCGCAATGAGGCACTGCGACCACGGCCCAGAGCAGGAGAAGGAACAGGGGGGTTTTTAGTCAGTAAGAGTCTGACACTCCCTCCCGCCCGGCCCTGGGCGGGAGAAGTCATTTGATGATTATCCCCTCGCAAAAAAAAATCTTAACTGGTTTTTAAGCCGAGTGACATCCGAAACACGTCATAGGTATATTATAAACCAAATAAGTACTAGTTTATTAAAAAGGCAGTCACATAATTTGTAAAAGATGACAAGTCATTGCTTGGGGATGGACCAACAAGACAGGTTTATGATGCCATTAATATGTTCGGTTAAAATAATAAATTTATTATTTCATCTTCTCTTGACGCTCACGCATTCATTTAGTTCTTTGTTATTTTATTTCCACGTTTTTTAAATTAACTATAACAAATTTATTTCATAAATGTCCAATATAATACATATATTTTACTTGAAGTGATTGTTTTAGTTCAGTACAATACCTCAATTAGCTGGGTCCCTCCATAAGTAAATAATACAATACAGTGGGATCTGGATTTGTAATCAGTGTTAGGCAATCAAAAACCTAAAAAACTAAATATAATATCTCGACCATTGACTTCAGTTCTTATAAGGTTAATATTAAGGAAAATAATAAAACTACAATGTGTTCAATAGATTTACTTACGTTTTTTTTATCATAAACATCAACAAAAAGAACAGTAATTCAATTTGTCATTATAGAAAAAAAAACATTGCTTACATGATCAGACAAACGCACAGATTGCCACACGTTAGATATAAACATTGATCCAAGATGCAAAATTATATTTGATCCTGCGACCTTAACTTTACTCTGATCTCATTTCAATCCTTTCAAATTAAGAAACTGATAAATCAGCCGCGAGACAAATCTCTGACCTTCACTATGTGTCGCTACCGGACTCCTTAGTAGATTGCATCAGATCTTGGTTTTGTATTGTACACACGTATTTTGAGACATAGGTGTTAACCTTTCTATGAATAATATGTAGTATCTATGTATTTATACAAATGTAGAATATGTGTTTGAAATCAACTGTAAAATGAGTGTTAATTAAACTAATTAGATACTGTGTATGTTACCAATATGTAGCATTTTTGTGTTGAAGAAAAATTTGGACGTTGTTGTATCTCTTTTATGGAATAGGAGGAAAATGAGCTTAAGGATCACCTAATGGGATGTGATGGTTTGCCGGTCAAAATCTTTTAAAAGCTGTATAGTGTAAGTACCTACGTTAAATATATTATTTCTTACCCCTCTTATTTTCTTACTCATGTTGAAGTATTTGCTGCTATTTTGAATATTTAAAAGGTAGGCTTTCGAGACCCATTGAATGCTTGTCAATAGCTCAAATGTTACTTGGAAAAAAACCTAAGTTTTCGTAGTAATAAAAATTGGAAACCGTATAGTTTCATGTGCTTCCGAATTTTCATTTTGCCGCCTTATTTAAGTACGCCGCTTAAGACGCCATCTTGTAGATATTTCAAGAAAGATACCAGGTAACCCCTATTTCTCTGACCAAATGACGTCTAGAATTGGGTAGTTCGCTAGGTCAAAAATAAATTAATTCGACGTTTCATTACAATAAAATATTGAAAATTACTATACTTTTATTCATCGATCGATCGATACACTAAATTTTAGATATTTATTAACATTTTTTTAAGAAATAAGTAAACTATTTGACGCTAAAACACTATCACGTCATTACTGCGTTTCATACACATTTCATAGAAAAGTACAGTTTTTGGCATGTCGATAATATGTAACGAATAATATTTAGTATTGAATTTGACTAAGTAGTAGGAAACTACTGTATTGTAAAAAATATTTTGAATAAACACTGAACACCAAAACAAACGCGTGTAAAAGCAATTTCGATATAAACGAGTGCAGACTCATTTCGCTAGTAAAAAACTGCAAACAAACCTTGAGTCTTTTCCCCACGTCATATTAACTTGAACATGATGATTTCTCGGAAGAAATTTTATAGTAATATACCTCGACATCAGGGTCTTATGTCACGAGAACTTAGTTATAAGTATATATCCCACCTCATACTATACATAGTAGATATATGTATACTATTTTTGAAGATCATAATATAGGTATAAATCTTGACCTTTTTGTTATTTTTTGACCACGAAAGATCGTCGGGGTCGAAATCGCTTAGTTAGTCTGAGGTGATCGGATTCTAGACAACTACATGGTAGCATTCCAAATTGAAAAACTGCTTCATCGGACCTAAGAAAAAAAAATTCAATATTTTAAATTGGCACCTCGCAATTAAAAATGATAAACTAAATTGCTTCTTTGACTTGTTGACTGCACCCCTATTGCTTTAAGTTAAGGTTCATGGAACGCTTTTTCTGGTCTCCAAACGGTATCAATGAAGTTGGCTAGCAAGTTTAGAAAAGGTGGGTAATTACGAGGAAAGCAGGAAGAAGCTGAGCACGATGCCGACACTACGTGACTCGGATTGGGGCCATGTGGAGCAACTGCGTTCATACTTATCCATAATTTCAACGATCGCTCTCTTTTTTATAACATTTTCCATTGAATAAGATATCTGTTCGCTTCCGTACATTAAGTAACACATGTATTGTATCGTTATTTGTAATAATAAGTACTCTACAGATTACTTTTTGCGAAAGCAGTGTCAATTTTGTCATACCAACCAAATTGGTGGTGTTAAGAATTTTTAGTTAGGGAAATTATGTGCAGTTTTTAATTGGCAAGAAAATGGTTACTTGTAAAAATATAACATCGTTAATATACCCTGTCCAAGTAAACGCTAAAAATGTTATTCACTTATTAATATTGGATCCATTCAAAATAACACCACTGAATGATCCAAATATTTTATATAAATACACGTGAAAATTTTCCCTCTCACTGAATTGCCTTTCTCAATTGCGTTACAAGTGCTGGACAATTTGTTGAGTCATGTGACGAATAGACGTCACGAGTTCTATTGGTTCCTTTTGTGAAGGATGTGCGGAGTGTAATCGTTATTGCTAAATTACTCCCCAGAATAGACTGAGCTAACTGTGGCTTCGGAATTTTCTAGATGCTGTCAATGTTTTTGTCTTGGTTGCCTATGTCTTTTTAGGTGGATTAGACTGAAGATTTATTTTGGCTAAAGATTTGCAGTAATTGTTTTTTTTTGTAAATAGCTGTATATGTGATTCAGTTTCTTTTGTTTTGTTAATGATAATGGAAAATAAATTATAAATCTCGTCATAATCATATTTTACCACCATCAACACCATCTTTCAGCTCCTGAGGCTACCACTGATGGCTATAGGACTTTTTTTTTCTTTTGGGATAAAAAATCATTGAATATACTTTTTTTCACAAGAAGAGAAGAAGTGTCAGGCTGTTATTGACCAAAACCATCCCGTTCTTTCTGTTCCGAACCGGGCGACGGAACACCATGGTGCTTTACCCGCTTCCCCGGGAAACTTTCCCTAATAATTTAAGGCTATTTATTAATGCCTATAAAAATTCGATGAAAATTTTTACGATTTATATATTTTGATATAACCACACAGAATATTGTTCTTTAGTTCATGGACATCACGTGGTTATATAATTTCATTATCAATTGTCTTTTAAGGCAATACTGTAGTTATCGTGGCATTGCTGAATTGTGGATAACTGTAAATCATGGCTAAGGTCTGTAGAACTGTGAAAAATATATGTAAATAAATAAAACTCGAAGGTTAAACAGTAGCGTTATTTCAAGCAACGGTAAACGTTATTCAAGCAGACTGATTTGGATCATTATTGTCGGTAGGGTTGCGACTTTTGAGTACAAGAAACCAAACTTTTTTAGATATCGTACCGAATAATTTTACTTTCTACAACTCTAGAGTATCCTACCTCCAATTACTATTTGATTAAAAACTGTGTTTCAAGGACATAATATTGGATTGATTCCTTACCTTACCTGAGGTTGGTTCAGCCGGGGTTGCGGGGTAAGCGCAATGAGGTACCGCGACCTCGGCACAGAGCAGGAGAAGGAACAGGGGGTTTTTAGTCAGTAAGAGTCTGACACTCCCTCCTGCCCGGCCCTGGGCGGGAGAAGTCATTTGATGATTTTCCCCTCACAAAAAAAAAAAAAAACCTGAGGTTGGTACTGCGGCCTGAGCCTGGAGCCAGAGAGGGAACGGGGCGGTGTTTAATCATTATCCTGCCCAAGGGATCTGACGGCTTTACCGCCGCGCCTCAAAATGATAGATAACAAGAGTAACATTTCTATTTTATTTTGACTGAATATTTTAATTCCTAATTTTTTCACAAGGTCTAAAAAG